GCATCCTGGTCCTCTCGGAAGTAGATGGAGTCGGCAGAGTAGAAGGAGGGGTCTTCGTCAAAGAAGTTGTAGGGTTGGAGGAAGAAGCCCACGCCGTTCCCCACAGTCACCGTGTTAGGAATGTCCTCTGCATGTGGGATGTGTAGAAAACCAGCTGTCACCCAGGCCACCAAGTCCTAGCAGGGGAGAAGGAAGAGGGTCACGAGGCCTGGCTTTGCTGAGGACATTTAGTGATAGGGATTCAGCTACCAAGGAATCTGGAGTCTTTAAACATTTTTTCCCACTGGATAGAAGTCAAAGCATAAGCAGTCCATTTCATATTAGGAACACCCGCCTTCTTGTCCCTGGCCTGCAGCCTCCAGCTCTGACATTTCCCATTATATTGCCCTCTGCCTACCTACCGCCAGAGGGTGAAACCCACAGGCTGCTTCAGCTCCTCTTCCCCTAACTCTCTAAGAGTTCCCCACAACTGAGGGAAGAAGGGTGGAGGAGTGAGAACCATGGCTGGGAGGCAGAAACAGGCCAACATTGTGAAAGTCATCAAGTCAGGGATGAGAGAAGCTTCAGATACAGGAGATGTCATTTTCCCTGGTAACTTCCATCCCTCTTTGAGTCCTGGAGCCTGGAAAGGATTCAGTCCATGAAACTGGAACTACAAGGGCTCTAGGATCTCAGGCCCAGGGCCTCATTCAGTGTTTGCATATGGACACCCAGCTCAGGAATATTCCCTCAAAGGATAACAATCAGATCCCCTGTAGTGCAGAAGGCGGGAGACAGCACCACCCCTGAGGACAGCAGGTGGTTTTCAGGGACCCTCCCAAGAGAAAGTAAGGCTCCTCCCGTGCCCCCCACCCCCGCCAGCTGACCTTTCCAGCAATGGTCTCATTGTTGATGAAGTCATTGAAATCCACAGTGGGGGCCCAAGGGTCATTCTGATTGAAGATGCTGCTGCTACTGGGCTCCTCCTCCTTCCGCTGGGTCACAGCCAGCTGGCACCTAGGGAGGTACTGGTCAGGCCTCCATGGCCATTGACCCCATCCTGCTGTCTGATTATGGTGAGAGGGAGCTGAGTGCTCAGAGCTCAGCTTCCCCAATTGCATTCACACAACTGACTCGGTGCTACAGAATCCCCGACGACATCCTAAGAGGGGTCGGGTCCTCCTGTTTATCCCCAGCCATTTCACAGCATAACACCTCTCACACCCAAAACAGAAGAGTTCTCACTCCTGGGCATTAGCCTTCAAGGGGAAAACGTGCCCACCATGGTGCCTTTGGATAACTAGAAAAGCCTTTGGTCAGGTGTGGTGGCTCACACCTGTAATCCCGGCACTTTGGGAGGCTGAGGCGGGTGGATCACGAGGTCAGAAGTTCCAGACCAGCCTGGCACACCACCACGCCTGTCTAATATTTGTATTTTTAGTAAAGACTGGTGAAACCCTGTCTTTACTAAACATACAAAAATTAGCCAGGCGTGGTGGTGTGCGCCTGTAATCCCAGCTACTAGGGAAGCTGAGGAAGGAGAATCGCTTGAACGTGGGAGGTGAAGGTTGCAGTAAGACTGTACCACTGCACTCTAGCCTGGGCAACAGAGCAAGACTCTGTCTTAATAAAAAAAAAAAAAAAGGAAAAGCCTTCCTGAGAGATCTCTCCCTTCACATACAGTGCGAGCTGAGTGTCCTCCAACGCTCCTTTCCCACTCTCATCGCCCCCCTCCTTTCTGACCACCGACCACTCACCTCTCCCAGCTGAAGCCTCTCTCCATGGAGCTGTTCTGTGGCAGCGGCTCCCCAGAAAAGCTGATCATCTGGATTCGGTAGCCCCGAGGGTGACCCCACTTGTTGCTGTGGTTGCTGGCCAGGTACAGGTAACGAGGGATGGTGCCTCCCACCGGGAAGGTGGCCTGCTCCTCTGTCTCCAGCAGCTTCCGGGTCACCTGCAGCCTCTGCATCTGGTGCTCAGGGCTCCAGGGCACAGCCATGGGGACAAAGGCCATATCCTCGGCCCAGACCCAGTTCTCCAGTCCTGCTCGGGGTAGGGTGGGGGAGGGCCTGTCATGCAACTGCCCTTGC